TGCTCGGTATTTCTCGTTTTGTGCCTGGGATCTTTGTGCCGGCCAAATGTAGCTCTACGTACGTTCACCGGACCAAATATTCCTGATCCACAGACGAATGAGAGACAGACTACCTCACGGCAAATACTCGAAATCACACGTCTGGTGTGCTGTCGCTCCTCTTCGATCCTGCTTGCTCGCGATCAAGACTAAGTGACTGTGCCCCATGCATTCTACTTTGCCTGTGTCCGTCGTGGCCTGCGCGCTTAGCGCATTCGCCGATCCCAAGCTACCAAGTCCGCTCCTTTGATTCGATTTCTTGGACAAGAAACTTTCTCCACCTATCTCTGATACCAGTTTGTTAGGATCTTGAGGAAGTAGTGTCCTTGATTACAGAGGGAGAGAGGGAGGGGGATAGAGAGAGAGAGCAAAACAGAAGAAATCTTATTGCTTAATTGATTGGAGAGTGAGGGTAATTTGTTATTACAATCTTTATGTTTATATAAAGACACAAATGACAACACCAAATCTACAAAAGAACCTAAAGAAAGTTCACCTATATAAAGCTAACATAAAATACAAAAATGGAATTAAGTTGGATCACAAAAAAAACTCTAACAAAGTATATTCGTGAAAAAGTTGGATTAGTTTAGTGGCATATAAGATTAGAAAGAGTCGCCTTAGATGGTTTGGACGTATAAAACGTTGGCCTTCTGATGACCCAATTAGAAGAGTAGAAGTATTGCATTTTGCCTATGTTAAGAAAGATAGAGGTAGTACTAAAAAGACTTGACTAAAAATATTAGAAATGATATTTTTTAAAATTAAATTTAAATGAGAATTTGGCTCTTAACATGAGACAATCGAGAAAATGGATTCATGTGGCCGATCCCACGTAGTGGGATAAAGGCTAGATGTTGTTGTTGTTGTTTCAATTAAAAAAAAGGATGAATATTTTTTCCCTATTAAAACTCAATGAATGAAAAATAAAAATATTTTCTTTTTAATTTTTAATTAAAATATATTCCCTCCCTCAACTTTCAATCAAGATTTTTAAGTGTGAGCAATTAAGAAACAGCTCAAACTCTTCTTTAGGCTCCAATTCATTAAGTGCATTAATATTATGGGTGGGGTATACTTTGAATTATCCATTTGTATTTAAACTAAAATTTGGGTTGGCAACATTTGTGTGTATTGCATTCTATTTTTTTATATTTTAATTTTTTTAGTGTTTAAATTAACGCAAATTAATTATATCGTAAAATTTATGGGATTTGAAGTAACATAAAACCTCTATTTAGATTATTTTTAACTTTTGCGCTGACAATGCTCTCTCACATCCTATTCCATGTTGTTGCTCGCCACCACTTATTATTATTTTGCTGCAATCCACTGCTACTCACTACTTCTCACATCCAGCTATTCCCGAATTGCCCATTGCTGCTAGCCACCGTTGCATGTCTCCCACCCTCTTTTGCTCGCTTCATCCTCATCTTTTCTCATCTGCATTTCAATGTATTTGGCATTATCATAGCTATTATATTAAAAAATATCAATGCATTTGATTATTACCTTACAAAATAATTCGTGTATTTCTAAAAATAGGCATTTTGGTTATCCTATATTTTCTAAATATATTTATATTGAAAACGTCCAATCAAACATCCCCATTGTACATTTTATTGTTATTGTGATCTCTTTGATCTTAAACATCTGCTTATTCTACAATGCCCATTTATTATTCATTAGCTTAATTATTATCGAAGTTTTGCATTTAAAAAAATAATAATAATTTAAAATAATTTTTGAAAAAAGTCTTTAACATGCGTTGTTTCTTTAAAACATTCGGATTCATTGACATCAATGAGCAACAAATAATCTAAGAAGAGATAATATTAATGAGTAGGCTTAAATATTCTTTGACATCTCTTAAATCTATCATGGGCATGCTCGACTCTGTCTATGCCTGAATATTTTGAGTCGTCTGATCACTTTCTTGCACATTATCGTTAAAAATTTCTTAACCTTTATCAGTTCACCTATAGAGCCCATTTTGTTGTATTGTTAAACCGATATTAATAGATATCAAATTCATTAATTATGGTATTATTATATTAAATGATTTTTCAGTGTTGATCATCCCAAATTGACTGCAAAGATGATGAAATAATAGATAACAAATTAGGTGTATAGGGTATCCCTGCTATCAAAAATCACATACATAAAAGAATGGTTGAAAAAATATTTATCTTATTATTAATTTGAAGTTCTTTAGGTAGTTGATTACGTAAAGGATTTAAATTGTCTTATTTTTATCAGATCAGCAGCATTCTTGATGGTGATAGCCCAAAAAAATCTTACATACATGTAAACATTTTTAGTTATTTTCATATCTTTATTTATTTATTTATTTATTTTAATTTTTGGGAAAAATAGGGGCATTCATGCCCAATTTCATTCCAAAAAAAATGAAAGGTTACAAGAAATTACAAATGAATTGTAAGAAAAAACAAAAAGAAAAAACTTACAAATTCATACAAGAACAAACCTAAGAAAGGAAAAGCTCCTTAAAAGAAGGAGAAACAACAAAGAAAGAAGAAAAGCAGAGTTCAAAAGAAACCTGCAAAAACTAAAATACAAAATAACAGCAGATGAAGAAGACTCCATCAACCAAAGGAGGCAAACAACCAACAACAAGGTTAACCAGATGCCGAAACAGCCAGAACAATCCTCCAGGACCAAAAACTACAGCTAAGCCTAGAAGCCAAAAAACCCAAACAAACCAATAGTTCCAGATCCTGCAATCTTCCAAACCGAAGAAGCAGGAACAAAAATCTGCCATTCCAAAACAGCAGAAAGCCACCAAGCCTTCAAAAAATCATACAGCAGAACACCCCAAGCCTCTTGCAAACAACAACCAACCAACAGAATCAGAGGCAAATGAAAAAAAAAACATAAAAAGTCCCCAAAAAACCCTGGACTCAACAACAGGGAAAACCTTCATATGTTTCTTAAACCTCAAAACATCAATGGTTGCTAGTCCTAACCATCCAGCATAACCTGGTTGCCAAACTAGCCATCCAAAAGATGAAAAATATGAAAGTGCCCAAACATCATAGTCCAAAAAACTCTCAACCAATCACATTTAGACAATAAGATGCTGAATTTTGGGCAAAGAAGTCCAATTAAAAACTTTAGCTTGAATCGCAAACCTGATAAGTTTACATATAGAATCCTGAATGCTGAATTTGTTATCCATTTTTCTACAATTTTCTTTCTTTCCAAACAAAATAAAGAGTACAACAAGTTATGTTCATATCTCGATAGTCCCATTCTACCCGTGTTCTTTGAATCATCATTTTCTTATGTATTCCATTGTGTAAAATTTTCAGAACTCTTTGTTGTCATAATCTCATAGATTATTGAACTTTATTCATGTTATCTTACATTAGACTCATTTTTAATCAAACTTTTCTATCTTCAGAAAAATCAAGCCCGTAATTTTTTTTTTTTTGGAAATTTAAATTTATATATTTCATATGGAATCATCAATAACAGTGACATGATAAAGTGAGCCAGTAAGAGATGTTCAAAATTCTCTATTTCTCTATAGAAATGCGTATTGTTAAGAATCAGGGTTTTGTTTTGACATGCATTAATTTTTGCTTTAATTTTTTTTTTTTTAATTTCGGCGCAATTTAAATTTACATTAAATTATCTTATCGGCCTGAATTTCTTTATTCTATCAGTTGAGCGTAAGTTTTGTTAAACGATTTTGCTTATCTATGCCTATTTATAGGGTTGTTTGAGAGATGATTCATACTTGCTTGAAGCCTATATTTGAAAACAAGTGATAGATGCATGAGTAGAACCAAAAAGAGCTCAGGGTGGGTGATTGCGTACCCTGAAATTATTTATTTTTTTAGAAAAATAGGAAATTGCCCATACAGAAATTTTTTTTCTTAAAAAATAAACATTTTAATTATTTTGCTCACTTTCAATAAATGCAGTTGCTAAATTCTAAAAATGAAATTTATTTTCTATTTCATATAAAATTATGCATTTAACAATTTTGTTTTGCCCACCCTAAAAAAAAACCAGTTCCGCTCTCATAGATGCTTCATGCATGGCCTGTCATTCTGTCAATAACCTACTTGCAAGAGTACTTCTAGAAGTCCATACCCAGCAGTTCAAGCTGGTCTGATAGATGTGCATGACTTTAACAAACATGAAATTTTAAAAGTTGTTATTTACAATTTTGTTGTTTGATAGTACTCTCCTAAGGGATTTGGTGCATTGTTTAGGCTAATGCCATGAATATGTGTTTACTAGATCCTTAAGAATATATCATCCTGTGCTATTGGGATCCATCCACCTTTATCATGATAATTTGCTGTATGTTCTGGGACCTTTGCGGAGCTGAAACCTGTTTAAGTTGTTACTCGGCATTCTGAATGAATTATCATATTTTAAAATATTATATATTTTGTGAACTCTACCACTACTATTTATTGTTTAATTTCTGAACATTTGGGAAATGAGCAGCTGTAATTTGAAAATAAAAAAGTCAATTATGTTTAATATGTTTGCAATAGCCAATAAGTTTTTCCTTTTATTACACAGCTGATGTTCTTTGGATTTAACTCAAGTTATACAACCTGAACAGAGCTGGTCTTTTTAACTTTTGGATTTTGGTTTTCTGTTTTTTTATTAGTTTCTCCAATTTGATGACTATTTTTTTTTTATGGAAAGCATTTTTAGTCTGTTGATGAAGCATTTACATTGATTATTTGAGATTTCGTTTAGGACCGCTTTCTTACTTCTTCTTAAAGCAGTTTTTTAGTTCAAAATTAAAATTTTTGTACTAAAAATTTGCTTTAATAAGTAGTAAGAAAAGCCATCCCAAACGAAGCCCGAATCTAACTCATGGAGCTCATTTCATAACAAATTTTTTTGATATGAAAGCTTTGCATTTTCCCTGTGGACCTTCCTGAACTTCAATTTCATTTATGTTGTTGCAGTTTCTTTCCTGCCTACTAATCTCTATTCTATGGAAATATTAGGAAATCTAACTAGTGTTTGGATGGCTTGAACCATTGAAGGGATCCAATACTTGTAAGTATAAGCTTATCTTGATTGGTAACCATTTTATTCTCTGCAGAATGGGTTGACATCCATGAATGAAAATATGGGACTATTTGACTAAAATTTTGGTCGAAATGAAGATGCTTGTGTTATGCTGTGATGAATTCTTGTCTTAATTACTTTTGTAAATATGGTGTGAGTTTAGGATCTTAAGGGACGTTATTATCATCCTCAGCTTTTCAAACTATTTGGGAAAGTCCTTATGAATACTTATTTTTATTTTTATTTTTTCTATTGATTGTTGCGTAAGATATTAAATCTATTCCACACGAGAGATTTTGAATGATTTTTATTCATGTTATCTTAATTTTTTCTCTTTTTTTCCCTTTCTATAACTGGCTAAAAATACTATGTTTTATTGAGAAATATGATCAAAAAGTGTTTTATTTTTTCACTAAATGGCCCTCTTTTGAACATGGATTGTTTATTGAAGTCTATCACGAATAAATTTGGCTCTAGTTGGTTTGAATTTGAACTTTTGATCATATGTATCGGTTTCACAATGCCTTCTCTAGTAAGCCGTTGGTCCCGAGATGTCAACAACAAGAAATATTATTCTATGCGGACATCGAACATGTAGAAAGTACAGGAACTTGTGAGCCAAGTTTAAGAAATCCAGAGCATTGGACAGAGAGACAGCGAAGATAGTAAAAGCAATAATTCTTTATTATATCTTTCTCGAATATGTGGTAATATAAAAGGCTATATAGTTTTATATAATAGTTACATTAGTGTTCTCTAATATCCCCCCTGAAACTGAAGGTTCTTGAGTTACATTCAGCTTGAGACGCAGTGTTTGAAAGCGAGGTGTGGACAGCGGTTTGGTTAGTATGCCAGCCGGTTGGTCCTTCGTGCTAATGGGAAGAATCCTAATTGTTCCTTGCTGAACGTGATCGTGAACGAACCTGTGATCAATCTCAATGTGTTTTGTTCGGGCGTGGAATACTGGATTATTAGCCAGTGCAATGGCCGACGTATTATCGCAGTAAATATCAGTCGGTTGAGTTTGATCAATGCCGAAGTCAGCTAGAACTCTGCGAATCCAGATCACGTCAGTGGCAAGGGTGGCGAGGGATCGGTATTCTGACTCGGTGGATGAGCGTGCTACTGTTGTCTGCTTCTTGACCGTCCATGAGATCAGCGCTCGGCCAAGATACGAGCAGTATCCAGAAATTGATTTCCGAGAGATAGGATCTCCAGCCCAATCTGCATCAGAGTAGGCCGATAACCGCAAGTTAGATTTGAAAATGGGAATACCATAGTTTTGCGTACCTTGTATGTATCTAAGAAGTCGTTTGAGAAGGTAGGAGTGCTGATGTTGAGGTGAATGCATATGCTGAGATAACAAGTTAACGCTGAATGATATGTCGGGCCTTGTTAGTGTCAAGTATTGAAGGGATCCTAAATGATATTACTTTTGTGAGAGATGAGTAGGGACGGATCAGATGTACTATGCTGAAAACCAAGCTCGACGAGAAAAGAGGTTAGCGTGTTATACCATTGCCTGGGTGCTTGTTTTAGACCGTAAATAGCTTTTCGAAGTAAGCAAACATGATTCGGGTATGAGGCATCCTCAAACCCTTGAGGTTGACGCATGTACACAATTTCTGCTAGCGAGCCGTGAAGAAATGCATTGGCTACGTCCAGTTGATGTACAGGCCAGTCATTGTGAGGCGCCACGGTGAGAAGAATACGAATTGTTGGGAGTTTCGCCACTGGGCTGAATGTTTCAGTGTAGTCCAATCCATATTCTTGGTGATTTCCTTGCGCGACTAATCTCGCTTTGTGTTTGGCTATGGAGCCGTCTGAGTTGAGTTTGATCCAGTATGTCCATCTGCTGCCTAGAATAGATGCATTTGGTGGTGGATGAACCAGGTTCCATGTGCCTTGGGTCTGTAGGGCAAAGAACTCATCTGTCATGGCACGTCGCCATTCGACTGACTTGCTTGCTTCGGTATATGAGGATGGAGCAACCGGTTCATCTGTAGTGGAGTGAAAAAGATTTAGGCGATGGATAGGTTTCAAGTTACCCGATTTACCTCTTGTTATCATGGAGTGTTTGTGCTGAGGGATAGGTGGAGCTGTTGGACGGGATGGCTAACGGGTTGAGATTGTGTCTGTATAGGTAACATTAGTTGCTGGTGTTTGAGTTGAAGGTGTAGGCAGTGTAGTAGCTGTTGGAGAGGGAATGATGACTTTTTGGGTAACCGAGACAGGAGTCAGGAATAGATGTGAATTTGGATCGGGCAAGTCAGCATGTTGAACTTTGATATCTGCAAAAGGAAAATAAGATTCATCAAACGTGATGTGGCGAGAGAAGGAGACCTTGTTGGTGCCGATATGTAGACATTTATATCCTTTGTATGTATCTGAGTAGCCAAGAAAGATGCATGGCTGGGCTTTTGGTAGAAGTTTGTGGCGTTGGGAAGGTGGAGTTAAAGGAAAACAAGCGCAGCCAAATACTCTGATCGGGTTGTAATCCGGCTTAACACCATATAGCATTTCATGTGGAGAGATCTGGTTAATGGCTGTGTTCGGCAATTTGTTAATCAGGTATACTGAGGTTCTCATTGCATCAGGCCAGAATGTTAGGGGTAGGGATGCGGTGTGGAGCAGTGTTCTGGCCATTTCCACAATTTTCCTGTGCTTACGTTCTGAGACACCACATAATTCTACATCTAAATACCAATCAGAATGAGCCACGTCAATCATATCAAGCCCGGTACCGAGCAATACTGACACTCGGTACTTAGGCATCAGGACGGGGTTCAGCTTTCGTACAGAATAATTTTTCCTACAACAAACACCCTCTTCTCCTTGCAATCAGTCGTGTCATAGCCTCTCTAACGAGCTATCTTCATAAAATCATCATCTCCTCGCATGCCGTCGAACCCATTGAAGCTTATCCCCACTGAGCTCCCATCAGAAAATCTTGATCTTATGCATATCCCATCGGCAAGCTCCCATCATGAAATCTTCTTATCTTCAAATGTCACCAATCCCTTCAACAAGCCACCAGCACCACCCCGTCGTAAAATTCTCTTCTATTCGGGCGTGCTATTCGACCAAGGTTCAAACCATGCTCGATCTAGTGGTTCAAACCATACAGCAGATACTTGTAATGCTCTAATTGTAAGCGAACTTCTACCATTCAAATTATGGCATATTGTGATATTGATTGTGATTATCTGATTCTTATAATATCAGTGTGATTTCATCTAATTCAAATTATTTAAAATTATTATTGATATATATAGAAGGAATTATCATACTAATGAAGAATTTATTATAATTTGATCGATTAAAAAAATATATTTGACGTGTATTATGTTTATTATTATATAATTAATAAATTAAATGATATTATATAGGTCAAGTGGGAGAATATTAGAAATGTGAATGCAATGGCTTATGTTAATTTAATTGTTTAATTATAGTTTAGTAATTATTTAAGGCTTCGATTGTGACGGTTTTTTTAATGCTTTCTAAAGTTGAGTTTAGTATAAAAATTTCTTGAATTAAAATTTTTTGTACTAAAAAGTTGTTTTAAAAAGTAATATGAAAGCCGTTCCAAACGAAATCTAAGTGTCAAATTCCATCAATCAAAAAGAAAAATAATTCATTGAAATGTTTATGGATTATTTGATGAAATAATTGAATTAGAAACTACCAGTTCTTGTTCTTACCCTTTCAACACAGTTGTGAAAATTGGATTGGATAATAAATTAAAGAGTGAAATATTCACGATTTGACTGATTCGACCAGTTGAATCGGGATTGAATTAGATGACATAATAAATGCTACTTTTATTTAAAAAGAAAATAAAATTTCTTAATAAGGAGAAAAAAGAAAAGATAAAGCTGTCTTGCATAAATAAAAGGACATCATAGCATTCAGCTCTCATGAAGAATGATTTCTGATCACCAAATAGCTTTAGCCACTGAGTCTTCAAGAAATAAGTTCCTGCCAGCCTTTGGATAGGCCCACCTCGTGACTATGAACAGAAAAATCTTTTTCTTAAAAGATGCCTCCTTTTAATAAAACTGGGAACATTATTTGACTGATTGAAATTAATAATTGATAATTTGCTACTAAAATAACTTTTTATATGTTAAAATTATATGATGGAATCTTAAAATTTCAAATTTATCACTTTTGTATTCTTGAGCAATTTCATAAAATTTGAATTTTCATGTATTTCCACAATTTTTTATAATTTTATGAGAAATATTGTCATATGGAATGATTTTGATGATGAAGTTATGTTGGTTATTTATCATGTTGCTTGATGGTCCATATGTAACATACATGTCACAACTACATGGATGATATGCAGTATGTTGGATTCATGGGGCTTTTAATATGCATGTGTTCATGTGATGTGATGATTCACAGTTGATCCAACTCACTTTGCATCTTCAACATTATAGGCTAGGGAAACTGATCTAACCATGCATTATTTGGCTTTGAAGGATAGATTTGTTTATGGCTTCAAGACCTCCCATGAGATTAACTTGTATAGATCATCAATGATCAACCAGAGATGTTAGAAAGCCAAGAGAGGAGAAGGAAGACTTAGATCTTCAATTCGAGAGAATTCTCATCTCATGAGAGAATAAGTGATGGCAGGCGATTAGTAATGATAGAGGTGTTGGAAACAAAAGGAGATATAATAAAATAAGATAACTATGTGAGTCGATATATGAAAATTCCCAACAAGAGATTGTCCGTCCTAATTGAGGATGACATTGAGTCATAAAAAATAATATGAGAAGACTATTTGTGTAAGGTGGCTAAGAGGAAACAAACTTAAGGAGTGCATGACAAATTGGGTCACTTAAAGGAAATTCTCCAAGATAGAACAGGGGTTTTGATCCCTGATTGCCAAGAGGATTTAAAAAATCATGAGACTTATCCTTAGTGTCAGATGACTCTAACTCACATAAAGTCTAAACTTTAACAAGTATAGCACGATATTATTTGGGAAAGAAGATTGATAAGCAGTGCATATTAGTCTAAAGTTATCATAAAATGATAGAAATTAAAGATGAAGTTAATACATACATGCATGCATACATACATACAATAATAATAAACATGTATCCCACTACATGGAATGATAAGATTTGATGCACTAATGCCGGAAAAGTCAAACCCAATGTCTATATTTTTATAGATGATGCAAATGAATCGTTATCAAACATTTATAATTGACATTCAAATTTGTATGAGTTGTTGCCTAATCTCTGAGTTATAAATCTAAATTTCAATCTTTCAAATGTATATTATTATCAGAATCTCTTTCTTATTATTTAAGGCCTCATTTGGAATAACTTTAGTACTGTTTTTTAAATCAATTTTATAGTACAAAATATTATAGTTCAAAAAATTTTTGTACTAAAAAACTGCTATAAAAAGTAGTAAAAAAACTATCTCAAATGAACGATGATGTCCGCTAACATGCATCAAATTAATTGAATGTTACTCTTAGGTTTTCAAATTTAATGGATTGATGTGTTACCACCGGTTATAGGCTTAAGCAATTAATCAAAAGTCAAAAAATTATTTGATGTCTCAGAAGCTAAGACGCAAGAGAGCGTCATAGCCCTGTGCAATGAAGCTATGAAAGGAAGGACAGTGAGATTGTTCTCTCTGAGTAATATACTAATAGCTTCTCATGGAAGATGGAGGATGAAATGGGTCCCAAATATAGACATTTTTGGGCTGGGCCGGCAAGTGGCCCGGCTCCACGCCACCATCTGCGGAGAAGCCACGGCAGCCAATTAAGTTGGGTTCAGGCGGGCCCAACTACTAGGAAAACGTTGTCATCGAACTCATTCGGGGACATTCGATTGGGCTGCTTTTCTTGCCGCCAGCTAAGCCCGACTATGACCGCTGGGTTCTTTGATGATGGATGTCCTTGTTACTCAGCAGGGCCTGTAGGCCTAAAGCGAAGCACAAGTGTAGAGAGCTATATTGGTATATCCTTTTACTTTTTTGCCCCCCTCTTTCATAAATTAATTATCGACTTTCTTTTTTTAGTAAAAGTTGAAATTTTTGATAATTTCATTATCCACTCTTATGAAAATTGAAGTTTACATTTATTTAGGAGGATTTAGATATATATCCCATGATTTACATATATATTACAAATTTTATTTATTTTCATATTTAAAAATTATTTAATTTGAAATAAAATAAATATATAATATTTTAAAAACAAGAAATTTGAAATTAATGATATTTGATTTGAAGTAAAACAAATACAATATAAAATTTTGAAATATTTAAAATTCATCTTTCATTTCCTCAAATTTAGGCTATTGAAAAGTTATCGTCATTGTTATCTTATATATATAACATCATAATACCTAAATTACTTCAAATCATATAAATAAAAATATATATTTTATTTAGATTAAATAATTATAGTGATACAATTCAAATATTAAATATTATATAAATAAGCATAGATTTCAAGTACAATATGCACAAAAATATAAGATTTTTTTTTTTCATAAAATATATGAAAATCTTTATAATATTTAATTATAAGAGATTAAAACATACATTTTCTCACTTAAAAAAACAGATTTTGTCAATAGATATTTAAATCCCACATATGGGAAGAACAAGATAGCTTCGCGAAAGTATTACAGAACCAGGTTCAAAAAAGTAGCAGCTTCGCAAATTCAGAAAGAAACAAATTCCTCCACTTAAAGTTTCTGAATTTGAAGTTCAAACTACAGATTTCGTTAAAGCGGGAAAAAAAGAAGCTGCCACTAACAATGGCAGCAGCTCTTTCTGATAATTTAATTAATTGTTTAGTGCTTTCTGCTTGTCCTCCCCTGCAAGTTCATCATGTGATTCTTTAAATAATTTATTCTGTTAACAATTTCTTTCTTGTTCAGTCAAATGAAAAGGGTAAGATGAGTCCTAAAAAGAAACAAAAGCAGTTGATAAATCACTGGAACAGCAACACAGATATGAGCTTTTACAGGGCTTCTACAGCAAGCTTCAACAGCTACTGTACAAAGGCAATAATTATACTGGAAATGGTTTCATGAATATCGTCCTTAATTTCTTCTTTAGTCCTCCACTTTCCCATTGATTGCCCACTAGCACGGTGGAGCAAGGAAAGCAGCAAGAACAAGGAAGAAGAAGAGTAAAATATTATCAATAAGCAAAAGAGAAATTCAAAAGAACAGCTTCCCTAGTTCTTCAATTTCGCCCGGGTTTTTTACCTGTTTCCTTCTTCCGACTTGGCCATGGATATAGATCGATGAAGGCAGTTTATAGGTCAAGCGCGTTTGGACCGTTGCAGTAGTTGAGGTACGGGTTCCAAATCCACTGGACAAGAAACTTGGTTCCGCGGACGCCGTTGAGATTATAAGATCCGCCGCTCCGGCCGTCCACGAGGAGCTGGCCGGTGTACGCTCCACCGCCGCCTGTTCCGTAGATGCCCTCACACAAATCAGCGATTTCGGTAGGGAAAGACGGGTCCCCGCCGGCATACCACGCGTTGATGAGCGGATTCGAGGCCATCTCAGCTAACTCGTGTCCTATCACACTAACCATCCCGTCCACCCCCACATCCCCGTTCGGGGCTCGCTCGGGCCGCCGACCCGGCACGTACGACGGGATGGCAAAAGGGTAAGCGCAGACCTCCGCGCACCGGCCGCCGGAGTTCCCCACCCAGGCGTACGGCAACGTGTAACCAACCACGGACGGAAATGTGAAATAGTGAAATCCGCACACATTGCCGCAGAAATCATCCATCCCGACATCGGATGAGGTGAGGAGGAGGTAGAATCCGCCGCGGGGGTTTACGGGAAGGGGACGGGTGCGAGCGGTGACAGCGGTACGGATGATGGACTGTACGGAGAAGCGGGTGAGTTGCTCGCCGTGGGAGTAGAACCGATCGTTCTTTTCAGCGCCAAGGCGGACAATGGCGGTGATGTTGGAGCCAGTCTGGTCGGTATAGAGGCGAACGGTGCGCCACCAGGCGGAGACGGAGGGATGGGGGACGGAGGACGGGCGGGTTGGGGAAATGGAACGGATGAAGGCCCGGATGACGTGTTTCTGGGAGGGTGACCAAGTGCCGTACCATATTGGGTGGACGGTGATGTTGGCCGTGAGAACGGGACCCATGTGGTAACGGAGATGGACGAACTCCGATGAACCTTCGTATTTCTTTGAAGCAGCGAGGTCGGGCTTGGGGTTCGGCGCCGTGGGGGAGGAGACGGAGGTGTTTGGGAAGAGATGAGGCCATGGACGCCAGGCTGCGACGGGAGGGGCGGCGACGGACAAGATGAGGAGGACGACGACGGGGATTAGAAGCCGCATTGTTTAGTGTGTGAAAGGGCTTTGGTTGATTGGGAGAAGCAGCAGAAGTGTGGGTTGGCGTTGAAGGTTATTAGATGGGTTTGTTTTATAAGGGTTTTTGAGATAAAGAAAAAAAAAAGAAATTTTTTTAAAAGGATTATATTTTTAGCAATATTATAAAGATGCTATTCTTTTCGTACGTTCATACATTTAAATTTGGAGTAATGATTGGCCTGTAAATAAGTTTATATTTAAATATATTTTTAAAAATTTTATGTTAAAATTTTTCAAATTTATAAAATTATATATCATTTGATCACATGAATATAAAATAGGTGATTATTTACAATATAAATTTACTTGGGAAGCTAATCATGGATCTTATTAATGAATATGGAAAAAAAATCTAATTATCATATTTGTTTAGGGTCAAGATCCTAATAAGATAATTATTTCTCAAAAAGAGAAATTAAGGATATAATTGGTATAACTTTCATATTGCTTTATCTTTTAAATATAAGTTATAATTTTTGTTTGATTATTAGGAAGCAGTAGCCAAATATTATCGTAGTTAAGCTCTTAAAGCTAAACAAACTCTAAGATATACACAGAAATTTCTAGAATGTAGTAGTTAAATAGAATTGCAGTTGTGATATGAAAAACATAACATTGAAAAAGTAGTGCCTAATAGATCCTAAGATATAATTAAAATTAAAAGAAGACAACACAAGAATGATGTAAAGATGCAGTTTTATTTCAATCTATCATAACATAAAGAAACATTTTCCTATGTCATGTAGAGGTTATTTGGTTGCATGAAAAGGAATGCCATACAAAATGAATGCACTGTAGAAGGAATGTCGCATAAAAGGAATACTTTTGAGTTGCTTGGATAAGTGTAAAAGGAATACATTGCTTTTACCATTTTTTTGTATGGTTTGAAGTAAAAGTGAATGTAATGTAAAGTATAAAAACTTTGTGCTTGGGGTGGCTAGTGGTGGTCGGCGACTAGCCTAAGAGAGCGACGGTGGGTGGTGGCGAGTGGCGACTGTGATAATTTGAAAATACAAAAAGTGATAAAAAACATAAATTTTAGTTTGAACTAGAGCACTTCGGCACTGTGCTTGTGAGCGCTGCAACGCTAACTTTGAGAGCACAATTGCGCAAAAAAATTCTACTGCTGTGTTTGAGTTTCTGTTCTACGATAATTTTAGATTTAACATGCAGCACTGTAGTGATGCGGCGCTAGGCCACTAACAATATTTTTATATATATTAAATAATAAATATCACTGCCTCACCCCACGCCACTCTCTCTTTTTTGGCCAAGAAGGAAAGGAAAGAAGAAGGAGAAAAGGGAGAGCTAGAAAAAGAGAATAGAGAGAGGAAAGAGGAGGGATGTCAGGGCTTTTTCGATTGTAGTTCCTCTTATGAAAAATTATTTTGTTTGTAGTAAGTATATATTCTCTTCTATTTTCAATAATTTGGATTATATAAATGTTATCTCTTCTAAATCTATTAAAAATACATATCTTCTAATTTTTTAAGCTTTTATTATGTAGCTTTTGATATTTTATAGATTTATCATTTTGAATAGTATGATATGATTTTATTATATTTTTACCAATAAGAAACATGTATAAAAATATTTTTATGATATGAGTAGGGAACATGTATACAAAAAATGGGCTGAAAGTGATGTACTGTGATTTGATATGATAATACTAAAATATAATATGTGTTAAAATGATTGGTATGATTGATATGTGCTAGAATGTGATACTGATTTGACTAAAAAGGTGTATTATACTGATACTGCTATTATAGAAAATGATATGCCAATTTACATTAGATATATGAAATGATTACCCTCATGTGATAGCCGTAAGATTCATTGATTCTTTAATGGGAGTCATAATGAGTTGGAGCTTGATTGCAAGTTATACAAAGTCAGGGTGATTGATCCACGTGATTCAAAATGTGTTATAAGGAATACACTAATTAAGAGTTATAAGAGGCGATTGATCGAAAGTCATAAGGGCAAGAACAAAATCAAGATTCCCTATATGATAATGTATCAATATCGTTACTAATTAATATTATTGATATTGTACTGGTACCATTATTGATTAATGTTATCAATATTGTATTGTTACTATTATTGATTATTGAATTGATATTATGCTGATATTGTTACTGGGTACTATTACTAATATTGTATTGATGATGTTACTGATAGAAGGGTGTAAAAGATTGTATTATTAGATTGACTGAATAATAATAATAATAATAACCTGGTTGATAAATGGATATGATTAATTGGCATAGATAATATATATTGATGAATTGATTTTTTTAAATGATTTATATCATATTGTTCTCTTTTACCTTGAATTGATTGCAGTTGTAAGATTTTAATTATTTTTTGGGCTTTGTACTTATTACGTGATTTTACATTAAAAAAAAAAGGATAATAATTCTTTGATTTGAGGCTCCATATGGCATGTGTAGTTTTCTTTCAGTACTTGTAGTTTATTTTATAATTATTATGTATTTATAGAGATGTAGTTGGTCTTTTGTAACATAATTATTGTATATATAAGATATTTTTGGCTTATAATAATAATACATATTGATGAATATAAATATAAATCATATTTCTTTAATATAAATCATGTTTCTTTTTGTTGTTTATATGAAATGAATAAGCTCTAGTTAAATGGCTATAATGAAAGACAGATGCAATTCTTTCAATTCCTGAGCAAGATAGCGACAGTGTGCGACGAACAGTCGATGATGGCGGTGGACGGTGGCAGGTGGTGTTTGACAGCTGGGTGGCAGTGGAGTCGGTGGCCATCGACAATGATCAAGCAAGCTTTGAAGCAGTGTAAATGGTTTTCGTTCAAAACTGGGAGAGAACTATTTATCTCAAAAATGAACTAGAATGGAATACACTGCATTTACTTTATTTTACTTTGGATTTATTTTTCATCCAACCAAATATGAAGCTTTTTAAAACCTCTCTGCTCACTTTACTTCTAAACAAACTGCCTCATAATAATACTTAGCAAATTTTAGTCTTCACCCAATTTATTTGTCAAATAAAAGGTATAAATATAATTAAAGGTTTATTGTGTAAGTCAAGTGGACAACACCTAAAAGCTCCTTTTGATAGAAAAGTCGGCAATTGAATCATTTGTGAATGGTTTTAAGGAACCTTTATTAAGATTTTGTTTGGGATGACTTTTTTTTATTGTTTTTTAAAGCTACATCTTAGTTTAAGGATTATCTCGTATTCTTAAACTAAGCATTGCAAGTGGAGATGGGTTCAATCAAGGAGGCAAGATGGCTAAGCATCATGCGCACATTTAGATGCATCTTCAATCAAACATCTTTCGCCTATTTGTAGCTCCCACAAACGTCCACCCAAACTATAAATGGAAACATATTTTAAATTATATCACAATTGTGAATAATGTCGTGCCAATATTGACGTAGCACTATTCTGAAACCCTTTTTTTTTCTTAAGCAAAGATAAGAAAGAATATACACATAATATTCTTTTTTGATGTTAGAAATAAAGTTCGATTGAAGATTAATTATTGTTTGATAGACTGTTACTGTATTTTGATTTAGAAAATATATTTTTCGGTTGAAGATGCCCTTAGGGCATTATATACATGAGATGAAAAATGAGCAAACCTTTTAAAGGCTAATATTGAGTCATACATTGAAATTATAGGAAAATAAAATTAATCATAGTATTACAAAAATATACCAATTTTGGAGAACTAATTTTATTTTAAGCCATAAATATCTCCTATGAAAGCCTTTTGTGCTAAGACAAATTAATGAAAAAGTATAAAGAAAAAACAAAAAGGTCTTCATATGATGTTTATTTATCATGATAAGACATATGATCAAATACTACATCAATTGATTTGGCATGTTGTATGATAGAAATGTGTGTCACATGAGGATATTATTTAATATTAAAGAATTATAATTATAACCTACTAAACTTTGAGGAAAATAATTTAACCACATTTTCTAAATAATTTTTAATATTTTTATTTATAATTAATATTTTTCAATAAAAATAATCCTATTTTGTATTACTTTTCAACTTAATAAAAAATTAGAAAAAAAAAATTGTTCAGAATAAAAAAAGGTTTCGATAAATTTTAATTTTATTTGATGATAATATTTTCTTTCAAATGATCATTAATTTACAGGCGCGCCATTGGCCATTGAACGGCGGGATAAAAGAGTGGGCTCGTTAATGCGTGACAGATGGATGGCTTGGTTTAATGGCCAGCTGGGCCATGGTGGGCCCTCCATGCCTCGCCCATTAACCTGCTATGGCAGGGCCCATCGAGATTATAATTTGAATTCATACGTTCTAGTCCTTTGACACGTGCCTACTTCAAGAGAATAAGCTCGGCCGAGCTTACAATATGACACGCGGCGACTTAATCTTTCTAAGTTTTTTGACTAACTGCAACACAACTTGTATAGGATTCAGCCCAGTTGAAACTAGACGAGTACGGGAATCAGGAGACGTACGAGACGAGGTCAATTTCTTTGGGATTGGCTGTTACCTTATCGGATTGAATGGACGGTCGTGATTATTTTTTTTTTAAAAATTTTTTTTGGGGAATTACTTTTTTTTTTAATTCGAAATTCTAAATACAACCCAACACTCGGTTATTTCTTTACATATTAGATTTCTCTATCTAAGATTTTAAATATAATGAATTTTCAGAATTTTCAAGTTATTTTAAAGTTAGTGTAATATGAAATTAATTTATTAGTCATAAATCATAACACCATATTTCACCTTTATTTTAATATAAAATTTAAAATTTAAAATGCATTTATATTTAAAATTTTATTCAAATATTCTAATTTTTTTTTTCATTTTATTGAGTTAATGGGACTAACAATTGCTAATAGTCAAAATCATTTTTTGGCTGCACAGCTAAGTAATATTTATCGAATGTGATAAAGAGAATAATCTCATGTCACAAAAGGCTAATGTATTAATGAGCGTATCGTTATGATCCTCAAATGATCTTTTACTAGTAAGGATGTGACATTTGTCA